TTGTTACTGTGTTTGGCATATTAAATCACGGGCAGCTTGCCAGGCTTTGCCGTGCAGGCAAGATACTCTTGGTAGCTTGCTGGGCTCTCGAGAGGGGAGGAGGAATCGAACCTGGGTCGGTCATGTGCAAACCAAACTCCCTACCACTGTGCTCTGTCTCCAGCTCAACACTGGTACACTATGCAGTATTTATAAAGAATGTGATAGAATACAGGGAATAATGCAGAAAGATCTCTTTTATGTTAGATGTATCACTATAGTACTGTCCTCCCATTGTTCATCGATTTGCTCAAGAGGGCACCAGTAAGGTCTCCATTGTGAGACTTGTTACAGTTTTTGGCATATCGAATACGCCACGGGGAGCTTGCCAGGCTCTGCCATGCTGGCAGGATACTCTCAGTAGCTTGCTGGGCTCTCCAAGAGGGATGAAGGAATCAAACCCGGGTCGGCCACGTGCAAGGCAAATGCCCTACCAGCTGTGTTATCACTCCAGCTTCTCTTCAGATCATGTAAGTGTTAGATATAAGGGACAAAAATAGAAAAAAAACAAACAAGACTTAATATGTTCGTGCTATTTATATCTAAGTTCTCAGTCTCAGCACTAGCTCCTTCAAAGTGGTTACTTACTTAGAAGTATCACAATGTGAACTTACATATTTTTGAGTGTTTTTAAATTATAAAATACATCCACAGATTCAGAGAGATAGCACAAGGGTAAGGCGTTAACACAGCCACACTGGGTTTAATCCTGACACCACATATGGTTCCCTGGCTATCACCAGGCATGATTCCTGTGTACAGACCTGTTAATCACAAATCACAGATCATCCTGTTAATCGTCGATTGCCTCGAGCAGGCCCCAGTAACGGCTCCTTCATCCTAGCCCTGAGATTATATTCAAGGCTCTTTAGGAGAATGAGACCCATCATTGTTACTGGTATTTGGCATATTGGGTACGCCACGGGGAGTTTGCCAGACTCTGCCATGTACAGACCTAGGAGTAACCAATGAGCACAGCCAGGTGTGGCCCTAGAACAAAACCAGAATAAAAAACAAAACAACAAAGACCAAAGACATATATTCATTAAAGTGTTTCCCTTTAAGGAGTGTTTTGTGACATACTTTTCCTTTATGGAAACAGAACCGGCAGAGAGAAAAAGAACTGAGCAGGGGAATATAGATGACGGGCACCTGGGAAGTAAGTAAAGACATTTTATTGGCAAGTGCACAGGCTTCCTGACTAACAGAAGGGGAGGGAACCCACTAGGGTGGCGATTTCGGACCAGCCGTGTGTGTAAACATAGGAGCGAAGCTGATTGAGAGCTTACATGTGTCAGACGCTGTGCTCAGCCCCTTCCAATTATTGTCTCATTTAATCCTACCTATGAAGAAACACTATTATTATCCTCATTTTCCCCCCGAAGGGAAAATGGAGACATGGAACATTAAGCAACTTGCCGGAGGGCACACCGCTCCCCAGCAGAGGGGCTGAGGCTGAGACTCGGGCAGGCCGGGAGCCCAGCCTGCTCTCTCGTTGGTACCCAGGACACGGCAGCCGCCAACACGAGGCCACGCCGGGGAACAGACAGACGGAGCTCTCCGCAGACCTAGCCAGCCTTATTCCTGAGGCAATAGCTGGCATTTAATAAAAATTCCATTTTGCTTTCAGCTTATAAAAGTCAACATAATATACTCCAGTCAGTTCCCCCAAATTACGAGCTGTCTCATATGGAAGGAAAATCACACAGCTAAAAGGTCAAAGGCTGAGGGAGGTTGTACAGTCAACTGGAATGAAAAATGGAATAGATTAATCTTGGGCATCCGAAAATTTCAACGCCAAAGAACTGAAGCAATTTTCCCGGGAAAAGTTTGAGATAAGATGATCCAGGCAGGTTCTGAAAAAAAAGTTTTCTTGCTGCTAGATACCAGGGAGTTGTGAGGTTAACATTCAGACTTTTTAGTGACATTCAGACGATTCTTGTTGGGGCTCTCACAGAAGCATGGGATTAAACACTGACTGGCTTCGTCTCCTTGCTCTTGCAATCTAGGACTAGCTATACAAATTGAAAAAGTTTCTAAGAGCTACATGACAATAGCATTCCAAGCCAAAAACTGAGTGATAAAAGCTACCTCTGCTACAATGGTAAAAATTAAATGCGGATAGGGATGTGGCTCAATGATATAACACTTACCTTGCAAGTGTGGGGCCCTGGTTTCCTCCCTGGCACCAATATAATAATAAGATAATAATGCTAAATTAAGTGGGAAAGCAAAGAGACTCCACTTACGTAGCACTTATGACTAAAATATTTCAGTAAAATGAATTAATTTTCCTTTTGTTTCCCCCACATAAATTGTTGTCTACGCTTTACACTTTTCCTTTCCAATCCAATAATTTGACTTTGTATAATCACGTCTACATTATATACTCCAAAAATCATCCAAAAGATTTATTTTTCCCCAGGGTATTCAGGGACTTAAGATCCCCAGATGTAAATAATGATTTCAGATTAAAATTCACTTTCTATTAATCAATTCATTCTTATTCTAGTTTCCGCCACTTCATTTTTGGGGGTGAGGGGGCGGGGTGGGGGTTGGAGCACAGTCACATCCAGTGGTGCCCAGGCAGACTCCTGCCTCTGAGCTTAGAGATCCCTCCTGGCAGTGCTTTGGCGGGGACCATGTGGGGTAAAACCCAGGGATTAAACCCAGGTTGGCTGCATGCAAGGTAAGTGCCTTACTGTACTAATCTCTCCAGCCCCTCCACTTGAATTGTTTTTGTTTTCTGTTCTTGAGTAACACCTGTGCTCACTCCTGACTGCACTCAAGGATCACTCCTGGATCGCTCAAGGATCGCTCAGGGAACCATATGGGGTACTGAGGATCGAACCCAAATCAGCCGTGTGCGAATAAATGCCCTATTTGCTGTACTCAGCCCCCCACCCACTTGAGTTTTTAATTAGACAGCTCTACAAGACAGCTCTACAAGGCCGGAGCGATAGCACAGCGGGTAGGGCGTTTGCCTTACAAGCGGCCAACATGGCCGACCCGAGTTCGATTCCTCCGTCCCTCTTCGAGAGCCCGGCAAGCTACCGAGAGTATTCGGTATGCCAGACACAGTAACAACAAAGTCTCCAATGGAGACGTTACTGGGCCCGCTCGAGCAAATCGACGATCAACGGGAGGGCCTTTACCTTTTACCTTACAAGACAGCATGTTGAAGAAGTTCCTGTAAAAAGCACCCCCCTCCTTTCCTCACCTCATTCCAAGGCCTTAATGAATCACTCTTACTTCAGATATTCTTAGATTGCATGCAGTCCACCAACTCTCATATATATCTCAACAGCTCAGAAAAACTACAATAGCCGATAATTAGCAATACCCCAAAGAAATATTCTTGAGTGCAAAGCCCAAAGTTTGATATTAATCAAAATATCATTCAATGCAAGTAACCAGTATTTGGAAATGAACAGTAAGGACAAAGATAAGGCTCTTCCCCTCTCTTCTTTAAAGCACATAAACACATAGTCAGCATACCTAAGATTCAAGATCATTACCTGACGGTTCGTCACTGCCTGGGATCAGGGCTACAATCAAATTGAAGCTATAAAATCCCTAATAAAATAACACTTCACTATAAGGTAAGGCAAGGCATTTTATCTTTACACAGATAAGGTAGAAAACTCAACCTTTGGATTTTTTTCTAACCCTTAAAATGTTTCTGTGTTGGGGATGAGTACAGCAGGTAGGGCATTTGCCTTGCATGCCGCCGGCCCAGGTTTGATCCCCATCAACCCATATGATCCCCCATGCCCCGCCAGAAGTGGTCCTTGAGCACTGAGGAGGAAGCCCTGAACATAGCCAAAAGTGGCCCCAAAACAAAAACAATAAAATAAAATAAAATAAAATAAAATGTTCCTGTGTGGGACCAAAGAAATAGGATAGGGGTTTAGGCACATTCCTTGCTTGCAAAAACCAAACCTGCTTCTATCTCCCAAACAGAATATGGTCCCCGAGCCCTGCTGAGGGAATGATCCCTCAGCACAGAGCCAGGAGCAAATATAAAGCACCACCGGATGTATCCCAAACCCTGTTTCGCCTACCCCAACCCCACTCTCCAACCCCTATCCCACTACCCCAGCCTAAAATTTTTAAAAAAGTCTTTGTGCAAGCAGAACTGGAGATAGAGCTCAGAGACTGAGCCCACACTTTGCATGTGGGAAGCCTGGGATGGTTCTCCAGTACTGCACAGTCCCTGAGCACAGCTGGAGGTGACTCCCAAGCACAGACCTGGGTGTGGCCCCAAACAAAACCAAAAACCAATCAAGGCTCTATTACCAAACTTTAGAGACCTATGGACATATAAGATATGCTGTTAAGTAAAAACAACATTTCGTATACTACCCTTAAGTGTAAAACAGAGAAGAGATAAGAAGACACACAGAATATACCTACATAGCATCATGCACCTTGTATTTACACCAGGTCATTTCAGGAGTGCATTAGCTACTTAAGAAATAGACTTAAGAAAAAATATTGTTAGAAACAGGCTGGGGAAATTGTACAGGGGTCAAGGTGCTTACTTTCCTTGGAGGTGGTCAACCTGGGCATCCCCCAAACAGAGAGCTGGGAGTAGCCCCCAAGCATTATTAAGTAGGACAAAAAAAATTTTTTAAGGAAAAAAAAACCTAAGGATAATGCCACATTTTGTATTTGACTGAGGTTATTTTTCCTTTCCTTTCTAATCCCATACGTGACATATTTTAAAAACACACATTTCAACTAACCATGTACAGCAGAAGGCAAAAACAATTTTTCAAGAGCACCACAATTCCATATTTTATAAATTTCTAACTGTTCATCAGCATATGGGGAATTGCAATCTCTTGAATTCCTCTTTTGATCTCAGCGGCCACACATTTCTTCCTGTCAAAATGCTCCTGAGTCTGGTGCAGGGCCTGGGAGAGCAGCCTCGTCACCGTGGTTACAGATAAGCTCACCTTCATAGGTGCCCACTTCCAGAAGAGTCCCGCTCTGTTCAAGGTCCAAGAACTCCTTCACAGTCAGAAAGTTATAATCCACGCCAGGCACTTCTCCTTCTCTTGGAGATCGGGTTGTGCCTGCAGTAGACAAGACAAAGGCATAAGAAACCTTCAGTCAACTCAAACAAGAAGCTCCGCATGCAGGCATAATTAAAATAACCTGTTCAGTAAGCTGGCCTGCCTAAGGTTCTGCAAGACTAACTGCCCAGACAGGGCCCTGGGCACGGCATCTTCTTTCTAACCCAACAGCCTCCTCACTTACGCACCTTGGACGGCCTGGGAGTCTTCAAAAGGAAAGAGGCAAGGGAGCACAGCCAGTAAGCCAGGAAGCTGTTTCAACATTTTTTAACTGTGCTGGAAAAGTGGATTTTATACAGACAGCATTCACAATCAGCAGCTTTTAGGGCTCCAGTAAATACTAAAAATGTATCCACCTTAAGCGTACAGCCTAAGGGGCTTATATTTTTATCACAGGCCTGGAAATTCTTATGTTCTTTAGTACATCCGGCAAGCTCCAATGTAATAAGCCCTTTGAAGAAAATGACACCCACTACATAAACACATCACTAGAGAAAGGCGATTGCCCAAGATCTGTGGTTAGACATCTCCCAGGGATTAAAACACTACTGCTCTCCATGTAATTAATATGTTTGGTAAAAGGAGGCCACCCATAAATTCTAACTAGAGAGAAAGGACATTGCATTTGCTAAAAAAAAAAATCCTCTTAGAAGAGATTTTAAAGTATCTCCCAGATTTCACTTTCATCCAATTTCAACCAAAAGAGAGAAGCAATATGGAAGGAATGTGATTTATATATTTAAAAACAAAAGAAGAAAAAAATCATGGGATTCATACCAGTTCGGAACTGGCTAAATGTTATACAAGATCAAAAAAAAAAGCAAAGTACCTGATTTCTGCTCCTACATTCATGTTAGGGATCTGATGGTCAGTCAATTGCTCTTTTGATTAGATACAAACATTATCAGCAGTGGGCAGTGGTATTCCTGGGGAACATGATGCCAGGGATAGATCTCACATACTAAGCATGCGCTCTACCACTTGAATCGATAATGCCCAGCCAGACATTGGGGATATTGAATTGATATTCATTTTTTCAGCACCATTATCTACAGTGACTTAAGGACAAGGTTTCCTTTGTAATAAGCAGTCATTCCCCCATTCCCAGGAACTTTCAAGCAATTAAGTAAACAACTAGTACCCCTAATGACCCTGTACAAAACAGACTCTGCCTTACCTATGGGAACCATTACATATACACAATTCAGTGAAAATCTACAATTCTTTTTTTTCTTCCTGGGGAAAGAGCAAGGATAGTGGCGGAGGGAAGGGGTGTCCTGGGGCCAGTGGCACACTCTGTAGTAGTCAAACAGAATTCAATGCCAGGGACTGAATTCAGAGCTCTGCATGCAAACGCAAAGCATACAACTACAGCCCTTTGTGCCATCAGGTTCTCAGAATTAAGACAAAACCCAACACCTGCTGTGTATTTTATTGACCACAAATATGTTTTTAGATGAGTCCAGCATTCGTAATACCAGCAATCTAAATGTTATAAATAATATTGCAGTGTCCACACAGCAGCTGCACTACAGATGTTCTGTGTTGTCAACTTGTATCATGTTATGGTTTTCCTGCAAAGAAGCCTGCTAGTGTCATGTTCCGAGTCTACTCTTACTCTGGTTCTTAATTTGTTCCCATTTCTGGCTGCTCTGGCAGGTGAAGACAAGTCCCTCAAAACTTCCGTTTTGGTTTTAGGCCACCCTGGCACTGCTAGGAAGCTATTCCTGGTGGTGCTTGGGAGACCATGAGGTGCTGGGGACCAAACCTGGGTATCCTACATGCAAAGCATGTGCTCCAGCCCAATGAGCCATCTCTTCAGTCCCAATAACTTTGAAATGTACAGCTCTCCAGTAGGTAACTGAGAAATTCAAAGGTCATCACAATACTAATAAGCTGAGGTCTGGTTTGGGCACAATATCTGAAAGGCCTCCCAAACTGGAAGTTTCAGGCATGCTAATTAGTTAGTAGAGTTGGTAGGGTGTTTGCCTTGCACACGGCCAACACGGCTTCGATTCAGTGCTACAGGGCTAATATAGGGATGATGCTACCTAACAACAGGTTTGTGTACAAACTGAATGAGATCTTTTTAGAGGGTTTACTTTAATAATCATTAGCCATATTAGCTTGCGCTATTGTTCTGGGTCAAACCATAATGATGTACATTTGTCCATAAATATTTCATTCCAACAAATATTTATTCAGGCCCCCAACATAATTCACACAGTTATTATCTCAAAGACTAGAGAAACACTAGTAAACAAGACAAAGTCCCTTTTCCAACGGTAGCACTGCTGTCCTGTTGTTCATAGATTTGCTCTAGTGGGCACCAGTAATGTCTTCATTGTCAGGCCTATTATTATTGGCGGGGGGGGGGGGGCGCATATCGAATATGCCACGGGGAGCTTTCCAGGTTCTGCGATGCGGGCAGGATACTTTTGGTAGCTTGCCAGGCTCTCTGCTGCATGCAAGGCAAATGCCCTACCCCCTGTGCTATCGCTCCAGTCCTTTCCAGTGGTATTTTGTTTATATTTGTATGTTGCCGTGAGGAGCAGAAAACATACATGAGAATTCTATGGATAAGCATATAATTTCAGGTAAAAATAGCTTTCAGGGAAACTAGGTTTTAACAGTTCCCTGGAGAAAGGAAGCAGGGGGGTGGGAGAAGCTATTTTAGATAGGTGGCACCAAGACAGGGGGCTGCAAAGGTGTGTGACCTGCCTGACTAGGCTGGCTGGGGCACAGAGCAAGAAGGCAGAGCAATTGTCACAGAGCAAGGAAAAAGAATGGGAAAGGAAGTGAGGGCCAGGTTAGGTGAAACCCAGCAAATGCTCCATATTTTTTCCTAAGGATGCTGGGAATCGTGAAAGGAGCCTTGAGCAGGGGGATGCCAAGATTCAAGTCTTCCATTTTCTTTCCTTCAAGCAGTTGTGAAGAACAGGGTTTGCACACACTTTGCTGGGTGTCAGAGATTGTACACTCTGTTGAGACACCAGTGCAATGCCTACGGGACAGCAGTCGTCACTGGGGGAGAGGGAAAGACATGGAGCCAGGACCATAGACTCAGGGCTGCAAAGCAGGCATTCTATCTACCACTGAGCACGTGGTAGATCGAGCATGTACACTGAGCATGGACCACGACCAGACAACCCACACTTTATGTTTAAAAGATCGTTCATTTATAAACAACAAACAACAGGCAGGGTGCCGGGGGAGGAGACAAGAAGAATGTCAAGAAGATCAGAAGGTGGCAGGTACCATGTCAGGTGAGAGAAAATCAGGATAGAGAATGGCAATACAAGAGCGGTAAAAAGCAGCTCTCATTTTTGATGAATAGTAGCTATCTGAACAGATTGAACGGCATCAGCAGACATCAAAAGTGTGGCAACTCATCCCACTTGGTCTATATTTTGAAGATTGAACTGGTAAGGGAGTACAAAAACAAAACAAAACAAAATAGAAAGAGAGTCCAAGAGAGAGCTTGGTACCTGCCTTGCAAGCACGAGGTCTGAGTTTGATCCCTGGGGCCACCCTCAGGGGGCTAAGCACAGGCCTGGCTGCCAAGCTCACCAGCACTCTGCCTCCTCCTCCTACACACACACACACACACACACACACACACACACACACACACACCACAACAAACCCTATGTTCTCCAGTGCACCATAGAAAGATGCTCTCGAAGACATTGAAAATGTGTCAGCACCTCCACCAGGATAGTGCACCCAATGAGCAGGTGTACAAACACCAGAGGCACCCCCAGTGAGCACTGCACCAGAACATCTTTGAGCACCATACATAGGTGTGGGAAATAGACAGTCACTGGTGAAAGAAAAGAGAACACGGGGAAGAGGGCAAGGAGAGAAAGGCACAAGCACCGTATCAGTACTGTATTTTTTAGATTTGGAGGTATACTTACTCAGGGGCTACTTCTGGCTCAGTGCATGGTTTGCTCCTTGTGGTGCTCAAGGAGCACCTTGCAGTGTCAGGGGTCAAACACGGGCCTACTGCATGCAAAGCATGGGTTCCATCCCTTTGACTCATCTCCCCAACACAAACACCTTGTTCTTGAGGCACAAAATGGGCCGTGGCATTTACAGAGTTCAAGAAGATGGACCCGGAATGATAGGACAGTGGGTAGGGTTCTTGCAGACTCTGACCCAGGATTGATCCCTGACATACCATTTAGCTGTCCCTCTGGCACAGCTTGGAGTGATTCCGGAGCATCATTTGGTGTGGCCGCAAAACAAACAAAAAGATGGAGGGAATGTTCTAGGGAAAAACACTGAGTTCACTTTTAAACACACAAAGTTTGAGATGACAGGAAGCATCTACAGGGAATAGTCAGTACCTGTACTCCTGTACTCCACAAACCAAGGGTGGGACGGGAGAGAGAGAGAGAGAGAGAGAGAGAGAGAGAGAGAGAGAGAGAGAGAGAGAGAGGAGAAAGAGGAGGAGGAAGAGGAGGAGGAAGAGGAGGAGGAGTAGAAGAAGGAGGAGGAGGATGGGGGTGGAGGAGGAGGAGGACCGGAAGGAGGAAGGAGGGAAATTGTGGACATTGGTGGTGGGAAATGTACATCGTGAAGGGACAAGTGTTCAAACAGATAACTAGATGGAAAACTGAACAGTGGATGATGTTGCACTATCCTCCCGTTGTTCACTGATTTGCTCCAGCGGGCCCAGTAACGTCTCCATTGTGAGACTTGTTGTTACTGTGTTTGGCATATCAACTATGTCCTGGGTAGCTTGCCAGGCTTGGCCTGGTGGGCAAGATACTCTCGGTAGCTTGCCGGCTCTCTGAGAGGGGCGGAGGAATTGAACCTGGATCCACCAAGTGGGCCACATGCAAGGCAAACGCCCTACCTGCTGTGCCATTGCGCTAGCCCAGTGGATGACGTAAGGCTTAAAATCAGAGGGGAGATCTGCACACGAACTGGGGAATGATCATTAAACCACTAGCATCTGACAGCAAGAGGTAGGAAGTCATCGTGTTGGGAGA